TTTTTAGAAGCCACCGATACGGTAGCCTTAGGAACCGCTGAATAAAAGTAGCATAAAGAGCGACTACACTCAGATTCGTAGTCCTGGGGACGGTTCTTTCAACCTTAGAGTAATCATGTGGGAAATAGCTCCAATAGTGTCGCAACCAAGGTTACCTCACTCATTCGTGACTTAGGTGTATGAGTCGAAGACGACCACAAGGAATGTCCATCAGATTAAGAGAACCTGAATGCCGCTGAGTTTTGTAGGGCAGAGTTAACTTTCAGCTCTCATTATGCATATGGATTATATCTGGCTGAGCATATTTGTGATAAATTACATGAACGGTAGTGATCCCGCAATTTCAGGCGGCAAATAAGTACAAACACAAGGGATTTTGTGCATCAGTACTGAAGTGCGTGATATGTGATTCAAAGCCCAAACACTTCTCAAGTATGCATTTCCAATCTTTAGATATGTCATATTTATCTAAACTAAACGACCTTCTCGCTATTTTTTAACCTCAGCAAACCGAGGCTTACCGCAATTTTATGCGCAACTACTCATCAAAGCTGGGTGTACCAAAATCCGAATTGATACAACTGGACCACGTGTACGAATTTGAGAAGCAACTTGCAATAGTGAGCAAGCGATGGATTTTTCCTCTTCCCCGAAATGCATCATCCCTCATATACCATACCATAATATGAAGTCACATTATGTTTCTCTACATGACCAGTACGTGTGAGAGAACTTCCAGACACAACACATTCCTTTGTGATCGGCATTATGAAAACAAGATCCAAGGAATTTATGCGATATTACCTTTGATTACTTAAGCGAAATAATCATCTTACAAGGATACTAACGGTTGTCACACGTATGCCAACGTCTGGATTCGGTCAGTTGATTAATGCGTTTGGCATAGTGTGAACGTCGCTTCTGGTTGCTGGTAGCAACTGCAAACCATATTGTGTATGTTTTCATCACCAAAACGACAAGGAGCGAAATGAACTGAGAGAGCGCACATTAAGATCCCAAACAGATAAACAGTAGGGATCCTTGACAAGGAAGCGGCAAATAGGTATAGAAGCCTAGCGGTCATGTTCAAAAGATCCGTATCCACTGCTAAAGTCTGCAAAGCAGAGAGAGTTGAGTACGTAAATAAGTAAATAATTCGAGGTTTTAGCTGACTATGGTACGTGTAATTCCGTCATATGATTTCATGCTGCTATGTGAGAACAGACTATACACATTTAGTGTGATAACAAAGATTGTAGTATTCGTCTGGTACAGTACCTCAAACTTTTGCAGCGCGCTTTACAGAATGCACCTCTGATAAAGGTCGGTTTGCGTATGGCAGCACTTTTTGGGAGTTATATCGGATTTACCAAGTATTGCTTCAATCGAAATTATAAACAATACCGTGGAGAAGACAGCTTGATGCTTCGACTTAATATTCGTGCTCATTAGCATAGACTTTTATGAAGGCGTCGTTACTTCTCGGATAAGTTTTCGCTGATCTTACCAGGAGTAATTTTCATCGAGAAAACACTACTTAAGATAAAGGGAACCGCAAGTTTACCTGTGCAGCGAATATAGGCGCGATCATAAACATTAAGCGTTTACTCCCCCCGGCTTTCTTGTATTGTTCGATGATACGTTTACGACTACACATTAGTTGACGTGCTTCACACCTCTTGCTAACTTTTGCAGTGCGGATGACGATAAATCTTACCACAAAGTCTCGCGTACCAACGTACTAGACGGTTGATTTTCCCGCAGGTTCAGGGAACCGGGCTTGTTCAGATTATATTAACGTTTTCTGACATCAGTGTGTGTTATATCCTCGGCTATTAGTATCATTAGCTTGCCCACTGTTTTATTAACTTGTATCGTGCTTATGGTCGTATGCCTACAACATCTAACCACATTCTGAAACCATAGCAACGCGTTGGGATTTTGTAGAACTAAAATTTTCGAATATACTACTAGCCTTAAAAATATCCTTGTTTGATATACCTGAACAGAGAACGAACTTGATTGTTTTCATTTAATTTTTACCTATGCACTGGCGATGTTTGAATTCGCAGGCAAAGCTTTAGTTACTTCATTTGACAGGAGTTGGTTTACTTTAGTGAACTGACCTGACAAGGGTTTGTTAACCAACACAGTTGCATGCAGACGGCATCTGTTCAATTCTATGCAGCTCTAAAAGTCGTACATGTTTGTCTCTAACGTGTAAATACTGACGTGCTGACAATTTCATTTAATCACAGCGTATGGAAGAGAGAAGTGAAAGGGATCCGGAAAAGAATTATCACGTCACCTCACTGAACAATCTCAGCACTATCTGTCCAATAGTAAGTTTACTTTTTACGGAAAGTTTAAAAGTTTTGTCCGAATTTGTAAGTGCAATCATTTCATTTTTACCTAGATGTGTGCGTGTTGATCCACGACTGCGTTAACGCATGACACCTTGATGTGTTTGTTCCGGTGTGTAACCGAACGAGCGGCTTTTTGTGAAAGCTCCGAATCCGGTAAATCAAAGTGCAAACGGATTTGTTAAAATTTATTAAAGAAAAGAAAGTGCAAATTTCTATGCCCGAGAAGAACTGCTATTCCCTTTCAGTAGAACTGTACCTAATCATCATCTTCCATAAACACAGACGTTTATCGCAAGTAACTGAGCCGTAAACACGATATGATATTCGTATGAGCAGTACTAACAAGTAGGACCTGCAGTGTCCTCTATACTAAGCAGTAAATCTGTGCATGACATAAAGGTACATAGAATCTCTTTAAAAACCTATTTGGAATACGACCTGTGAAAAAGCCGACGTAGGAAGTATGTGCAATACTTAACTTCTGTTCGAGAACTGTAAAGATTAAGTCATAGAAAATCGAACTGGAGTCAGCATTAAAAGACTTTAGGCTGAAATACAAAAGAAATTTCCGAGGAGAATCTAGAAGGTACCAGTGCCCAGTCAGCTTCAGATATTTTCGTCATAGATTGGCTTGTGACGGAGCCTCAGTGGGCAATGGCATGGTTGGCGGCATCCGGCTTCGGAATTGCCTGTCACTATGGACAGCCACAGCACGCCTATATCTACAGAGGGACATGGGTGGCTTGAGCTGCACCACCCACAGCTCCAACCACACACCCCATATCCAGTGCAAACTCGAAGAAATAAGACCGGGAAGCATGTGGATTGGAGTCACATTTCATCAATGGAGTCGGCCCGCACTCCTCCACAGACAAATGCAAGCGCGCTGTATTTGGGAATCAGTCGCACACAAAACGGTGGCTGGACAGCAGTCTACTCCACACTGAGTGCATGGAACCAGTCTTCGAGCCTAGCACGGCCACAAGTACCGTGCACCCCGTCCCCTCCAGCAATCACCTACTGTCTCCATTTGACAATATGGACGAGGTAGTTGGTAATAGACAGGTAGACACCTTGTCAACATGCACATCAAGCGCAGCCACACCGGGGATAGCAAGCAACAGCCGATAACTTGAAACGACGAGATGGAATAAAACAACTCAGATAATGCAGAGAGATACGGCGGTATAATTTTTCAAGAAATGGGCTTATAAATTGAATTGGTTATGAACTAATCCGCGATAAGTTCAAGACGTCAGAAGATGCATTTTAAGAAAATGCCACAAGCGGGAAAATGTTATCTAAATTAACTACAATTAGCTTCAGCGACGTGTGCAAGTTTATAGTGGATAGTACACATAGACATTACTATGAGAAAGAAAAGCGTTAGGACAAAATTGCAAACCCACCACCTGAAATAAAGAGACTTAGCATGCAAGCACGCGGTTAGTAAATCGAATGCAACGTACCTATAAACGCTGCGTCGGTTCTGCCTACGTTCTCTGCAGGACCCGTCATCGCTTCGGTGGTGGTCCCGAGTGGCCTCGCTCATGGCTCACTAGGCCTGCCTGACTCAGGCACTCGCGACCGCATGTGCTACAGCACCACGCGCTCGATGTCAACGGAGTACAACCCATCGGCGCCAGCCGCTTTCGTACTTGCCACTTCTTCTCCGCATACATTGCGTCTTTCTCCTGGACCTCGGCGAATGCCTTCGTGATCAGGTCATGCCATGCACGCCGATTAAACACCTTCGATGCTCATGACCTGCAATCAAGATTAGAACGTGGAAGGCTCACTTTGATCATGTCCTGGTAACGTAACATTGGGTTCCCCGCATGCCGCTTCCCTATACTCAGCTGACCATATAGGAGTTGTTTCGGTATCCGCGTCGAATCCATACGGCTCACATGACCGAGCCACCTCAGATGTCTCAGCTAAAGTATGCAGTCCACTGCATCCATTCCACTTTGTCGCAACACTTCCGTGTCTGCAACTCTGTCGCACCAACCGATGCACAGAATCCTTCGTAGACACTGTTGATGAAACCGCTCAAGATATCGCACATCTCGCCGGTACCTCATCCACGTTTCACTACCGTATAGAAGAACAGACAGCATCATGAATTTGTACACCGCCAGCTTCGTGCCAGTGGTACTCTGATGGTTGCTCCACACTCGGTACTCAAGCTTCCCGAATGCCGCCACCGCCTTCGACACGCGGAAACGCAGCTCACTGTGTAACTGCTGATCAGCCGACATCACACTCCCAAGGTAGCAGAAGCGGGAAGTGGTTTCCAATACTTCAGCACAAATGCTGATTCGCGGCAGTCCTGAAGATTGCACCTCCGGTGAAGGCTGAAAGAAACAGCCAGTTTTGATTGTGTTGATGCTGAGCCTGAATTTAGCCGCTGTCGAAGCCAGAGCATTAGTCATATGCTGCAACTCATCCGCGCTGTGTGAAAACAACGCACAGTCGTCAGCTAACAGCAGCAACATACGGATCGTTGTCTCACAGATTAGGGTTCTCGCACCGAAACGCCGGATGTTCAGTAACCTACCATCAATACGGTGCTCCACAAGAACACATCAAAAGAACGCATCAAAAGCACAAGACAACCTTACATGAAGATATATATTAAACAGGACAGGAGTTAAGACATAGTCTTGCTTCACACCAGGACAACTGCAAAGTCATCCGAGGTCTCTCCACTCAGCTGCACCCTCGCCCGCATACCACTGTGCAGATATTAAATTAAACTTACAAACTTAGCGGGCAGCCAAACTTACCCAACACCAGCCACAATGCCTCGCGGTTCACCGTATCAAATGCCTTGGTGAAATCAACAAAAGGCGAGTACAACTGCTGGTATCGCTCTCTGCACTTCTCCTGCAACTGACGAGCCGCAAACACCATATTTATATTGCTGTGACCTGAATGGAATCCACACTGCTCTTCCGCCACGTTAGGTTCCACAACCTGACTGACGAGGCGGTTGAGCAGGATTCGGGCAATCACTTTGCCCACACAACTCAGCAAGTTGATGCCACGATAATTTGTGTAACATTGCTTGCTACATTTGCTCTTGTACAGTGATAGCACAAGGGCATCCTTCAGCTCAGGAGGCACCTCCTCCTCAATCCATACGCGTCGCACCAAGAGGTGCAGCACAGTCAGCAACGCGGGTCCGCCGTGTTTCAATACTTCAGACGGGATCCCGTCGGCACCGGTTTCGCAGCTGAGCAAGTGCTCTCTGCGTCTCATCCAGTGTCGGCGTGTCCGTCAGACTCGCCTTTACATCGTGCTGCTAGAGGCCGTTCAACGTAGGCCACTCGATTTCTGAACGGTTGGTCAAGAGACAGTCAAACTGTTTCCTCCAGGTCTGCATTATGTCTGCAGTTTGTGTGCAGGTAGCGCCTGAGCTACCATCGATCAGCGTCCTCAGCGGCTCCAATCTCAGTCTATACACCGCCTTCAAGGAGTCAAAGAATTCCTTGTGTTGGCGGCGTTCGGCTTAGCATTCCATCTCCTTCGCCTTCGTCTTCCACCATGCATATTTAATGCGACGGAGCTCTCTTGTCAGTCGCCGTGGAAGTTTGTGCAATTGACTCTTCTTCCCCAAGTCACTGGGGTCTGCGACATGTGCAGCAAATGCTGCATGCTTCTCTGACACCAATGCGCCAATCGTCGCATTGTTCTCATCAAACCAATCAGGCCGCTTACAGTTTGTGCGCCTGATGGTCTCCTCGGCAGCAGCTGTCACCTGGTCGTGAATGTGGTGCCACAGGTCGCCCACTGTGGCTATGCCTTCCACATCACACAGGTGTGCAGCAATTGCCTTCTCCAGCTCAATACGTTTCTCCACAGTACCGAGGGAGAGAATGTTACCATTACGCCGATGCACGGCTGGAGCGAAATACATAGATTTACGAAAATATATTTACAGTATGGTGCGCACCAATTTGTGATCTGTGCCACACTCAGCTCCACGCAGTACACGTGTCATGCGCACTTCACACGTATCACACTGACGTACGATGACATAGTCGAGCAGGTGAGCGTGGCCACTCCGTGGGTGCGTCCAAGTTGCTATATCACTCGCAATCAGTGCAAACCGAGTGTTCCTGATCGTCAGGCCGTGAGTGGCACACAGTGAGAGCAGCCTGTCACCGTTCGCATTCGCAGAACCAATGCCATGCGCACCGATAACATCTGCCCACACAGATGTATCACGCCCAACGCGGGCGTTGAAATCACCCAGCAGAAATAGTCGGTCGCTCCTCGGCACAGACCGTATCACGGAGGATAGTTGAGTGTAGAATTGAGCACGCGTGTCATCAGGATAACACCTGGTCGGACCGTACGTGCTTATAAAAGTGGCAAACTTACCTCTTCCGAGTCGTAGGCGAACAGTCATGAGTGGCGCGCTGATGTCTGTTGGTTCACCCTCGAGCTGGCCATGGTGGCGGTCGAATATTGCAAATCTAACCTCATGTGCACGTGGTGCTGAGGTGGCGTTGCCCATCCGGTAGAACGTGTAGCTAGCATCTGCTTCATGCAAGTTATCTTGCTCAGCGAGACACGTCTCATTGAGCGCCGCAATATCGATGTAGTAGCGTTTCAGTTCCATAGTGACCAATGTAGTGCGTCGCTCGGGACGCTCACTCGAGTTCCGGTCCAGTAGTGTGCGCACGTTCCAGCACCCGATGCTGAGTGCTTTGCGTGCAGGCATACGACTGCATTGGTGGGCAATCGCACGCTAGGTGGCGGATGTACTTCGGAGGTTTGCTTGAGGGACTCCACCCGGAGCCTTTAGCTCAATAACCTGACCCACATAGCAGTGGGTGCTTTGGAGATTTGGTTGAGGGAATCCGCCCGGAGCCTTTGGCTCAACAGCCTGACTCACAAGGATGTGGGGAGCAGATCCAGCTCGGGAATGTGATTGCAGAGACAGATGGGGATCTGCTTGACGGCCGTCACACGCAACCTTTGAGGTACTGGAACAATTATTATATGTTTTGCGACCGTAGTAGGATACGCACCTGCGACCACGGCCAGACGCAGATGGGTTTTGTCGAGTTTGCACCAATTTGACTAGGGCCTGCCTGGCTTGAGGCGGGTAGTAGCAAACCATTGAGCACCTGGAGGTGCCCTCCCACCGTCAGAGACAATGCGTGGCGCTCATGCTCTACGCCAATTAAGCGCTGGGCTTATAACCCGTAGACCTGTTGTCTCCAATGGCTAGGTTTTACGGAAAGAGGGCCATCGACCACTTCCTAACCTCCGAAGCGGATGGACTAGGATACTGTCAGGGCGCCCACACGTGACAGGAGAACGACTCGGGTCCTCAGTCAAAGCCTTCGACTAAATCTACACTTGAAAGGCAGTGGGTCTAGCATATGGTCACTTCACCAACTCATGCGGATTGGTGTCTTGGATCTTAGCAGGGAGATGGGTGTAACCCAACTCCCACCCAGCGGTCGCCACGAGGAGGCGACCAGAACATGTGCAAATTGCCAACAGTAGCAGCAGTGGGTAGACCAATTGTCAGGATGTAGGCACCATCAGCGTCAGCGCATACATGACTGGTATCACCCAGTATCGTCTACCCCATCATGTAGCAGTCGTCAAAATTGGCTGAACCTTCAGAGCATCTTCAGACCCTGCTGGTTCAGAAGGCAATGCAGTCATTTGGAATTCATTGTTGTCCGACGTTTTGAGGTGTCTAGGGCGCAGCAGTTACACTTCCCCTGGGCTGCGCAAAGTTTGGACAGATTATTCGACTTAACCTATTCTTTGGATAACGAAGGGAGTAGGATATCTACTTGTTATGTAACAATAAAATCAAGCTGCTTTTATTTATCCAAATACACTCAAAGAATAAAATATGCTTAGGCACTTTCAACAGGTCACTGATTGCGTGTTACTTTAAGATACGTTCTACATGGCGGTATCCTTTCGATGAACCAGGGACGTCGCCGAATACCGTGAGGCACAGTAATCTTCGAAATCTGGTGTATAATGCTTAGACTTCTTAAACTATGCTACTCTGTCTTGGCACACTCGACAATTACAATGACAGTTAACAGTGTGTTCGCGCATATCCACCACCTATCTGTTAACTGCAAGTAACATGGTTGAACGTTGGCAAGATGTATGACGTTTTTCCTCCATTCTGCCACGGAAAAATTGCTTCGCTTTAGCAAGGACACCAAATTTATAGATCTGCACAGTTAATACTGGTAATGTATTCGAATACTAACCGAAAGTAACTTTAACTTTAGGGAGACTAAATAATCAAGGCATCAACTATCTCCGTACATTTTCTGAAGCATATTGGCAAAATAATAGCTTTCTTCTGCAAAACGCTCGTAGTATAATTAGTATCGCAAGATGGCAGGGATCACGTATGATGGATGTGAATTGATATCATGAAACTACTTACATTTATATGATCGCTGAACAAGTGAATAACCTTAAAGAGGCTATTCTGCACTTCTACAAGGTTTATATACAAAATGAAGTGATGATTTCGACCACCAGCATAAAGTCGTTATCTTGTTCACACCAGAGAAGAATGCTGTTGTGCTCAGGCTACCACTCCCCATCTAAAGTCTGTGTAAGCGAACATATTTGTTTCGTTAATTCATCATCAGGCTTTTACAGTTATAGTGCTTGTTTTACTGAACAGCATAATCCCATAGTCCGTTGATTGAGGTTAGTACCTATGTGCAGTGCTTGGAGTCCAGCGTGACTTCAGGGTGTACCGCATGTGTCCGCATCCGGTAAGCTGCATCCGTCTCGTTATTTTTTTCGTTCCAGATGCACTGGGAACTTTTGGTCACTGAAGTTCTGAAGCCTGTGAATCTGACCATCTCACCAGACGATCCGATTGCTTTCAGTGATTGGGACTTCTTCAAAAACCGCTGCCGCCTCTATGAAGAGTATCTAAGTAACGATACTGGAATCAAGTGCGTTTCGCTTCTGGAGATAAGCCACAATTCACCATGCTGTCACTTGCTAAATTGAATTCAGATGTACTTCTGTGCGTATATCACAGATGAGCGTTGAACCCGGAAAGGTAGAACACATTTGCAGTGTAAACACCAGACCTGCGCTGTCATCATCCGGGCTGCTTCTGGTCATTTCTTTACTAGTGTGCCATCTTCCATTTAATTGGAACAATATCACAGGGTGATTTCATTATAACGGAATTCATCCTCTTTGGACGGATGAAAAGAAACTCTCGGAGGACACATAAGGTGTATTATGTACAGCTGCGTAAACGCAGCTTGTGGTCCGTATACCTTTTTCAGCAGTCAATCCTAACAGCATATGTCATCCTGGTGGTAATGACATTCGAGTGTATTGTAATTACTGCAAAGATATTAAATTTAGTTAAAGATTAGTAAATTTAAGACGTTGTTTTGAAGTCAACACTCTACGGACTTGATCTACCTAGGTACTGCATCTTAATGTTACATTTTGTCCACTCATAACATCACATTTGTCACAGTTTGGTCTTTAAAATGACGCCATTACTCCTCGTGGCAAGCGTTGGTTGTCCCGCCTCAGTGGCTTACCAGAAGTCGCTTCTGCAGGTATTCCAACGTTCCTCCGGTTAGGTCCATTCTACCTAGACCTGCTGTGCGCAGACGAGTGCGATAAGTATTGTTGATTGCAGTCCTGCGAGCGGGTAAAACCTAAAATTTCCAGGCTCCAGTTGCCGATTCAGTGACTGCGTGCTACTTAGAAGTAAATCAGGGAGACGATTTAGACTACGTGTCGCGGTGTATTCACATAACAGTTCCTTCAAACTGATCTTCACTCAGCTAAATCAATCTTTCAATAAAACCTGCTTGTTATCGCGTCGCATAAGTGTAGGTGCCTCCTCATTCATCACTGTATGTCCAGAAGTACCTACTTGTTTAGAAAATCACTAACCAGTAAAAAGAAATCTAAAGATAAAACCCCGTAGATACTCAGTTTTAAGCCATCTGACTGTTGAGCTGGATAACATTTTTCGGAGTTTGTTAGTCTGAAAACACAGTAAATTTGTGCGAGACACAATATCCACCTATGGATGACATCCGTACTGATTCACAAGGTTAGGAAAAAACACCCACACCAATGGTATACAAATTAAACGAATAGACTTCTCTATTCCTGTTCGCGCGCTTCACTCTTCTTGAGGGAGCCTGAGTTCGCCTCAGATGAAGGTTGAAACCACTCTCATCTATGAAGATGCATTTCTCCTTGTTAGAAGGTGCATTTGCCGAGAACTCGAGAGCGTACGCCTGTCGGCTAGCGATTGTCGTGCACTGTTGACTCGGTCGAGCTCGTAATGACACTTTTGAGAGGCATCTTTAGTCTCTGAGGGCGTTGGAGACAGAGGATACTGATAGGTTTATCCCATTCTCTCTCAGGCGCATCTGCAGCTGCACCAACGTGTCCTCAGAGTGCCGTTCAACCGCTTCTTCGACACGCTGCAATACATTGGGAGTCAGCTTCTCCCTATTGTTTCCACCGCAGGTGCGCTCTGTATTTGAGCCTTCTCGCTTGTAGGCATTAATGATGCTCCTTGCCGTACTCGCGTTAACACCGGCGACTTCAGCGGCTTCCCGAGTAGTTTTGCCGTCGACCAGCACAAGTTTTGTGAGAATTTCTCTTTGCGCAAATGATGTTCGCCTGCAGTGCCGTCGCGTCGGACACCAGCTCTCCTGTTGTTCGTCACTCATTTTGGTCGTTTCGTGCGGCACGGAGCTAATAAAGCTAAGTTGTGTTGAGTGGAACCATTATCGTATGCTCGGCTCCAATAGTGGTACCGCTGCATAGGTCAGTCCACACACCCAGACAAAACACACGAATTCCTATGGGGGGGGGGGGTGTAGGAGAAAATAGGTCACCGATTTTGACCGAGGCGAACGGCACTCATGTCAAGAGAAGGGCTTACACAATCACCCAATACGTACGCAGTTCGGTTACATTATCGTGACCACAATGTGGCCTGAACATCGTGTAATCGGCCCACTCCTCAGTAGTTGATATGTTGCAACAATAAGCTCTAGATCTAGACTGGTTTTGCTGGGGGTCATTACAGCCTACGCTGATACAATAACGTGGCAGTTGCGAAAGCTAATAGAGAGACGGGCGAAGCTGGGACACCGCCTACCTGCTTCATCCGACATGGTCCCATTGACCGAATCGGAAAAGGTTCCCTCTAATGAGAATAACGGTGCACATTGAGATTGCGCATCGCAATCCACTCACAAAATGATTGATACACAATTACGATTCGGACGTCCGATTTTCCAATTGTCACACACCTACACAGGTTGATGCGTATGGGCACTGCACACCAACTAGACGAATGTCAATGGGGTGAGGGGAGGGTAGTTCAGATCTTCGGTCGCTGCTCACGATCAAGCATTGTTTTACAGTGTAGCCCGCTGTTTACACAATGCCAGTGTATAAGCGTCATCACAATGTATATTCTGAACATCATTCAGCAGTCTTACTGCTCGTTTCTTACCAACGAATTGGCCAGTTGCTACTTAGATTGCAACGTGTCCAATTTGTTTTGCAAAATGTCCAGTTTGGTTTGCAAAATGTCCAGTTTGGTTTGCAAAATGTCCAATGTGGTTTGCAAAATGTCCACTTTGGTTTGCAAAATGTCCAATGTGGTTTGCAAAATGTCCAATGTGGTTTGAAAAATGTTCAGTTTAAATTGAAAATGGTATTTATATGACTGGTTTACTTGGGACCTTTATAACTAAGATACTCATTAATAATGAGTAGTAAGGCCTTTAGTACAATTCACATAATTCATCATGGACACTCAGTCAAACTGCGATGGCTAATATAGAAAAGCACCAGGCACCGGTATTTTGACATACTGCGTCCCGTTAGGGCCACATCATTATCAACAGCAGTACATCAGCCATTTGAACTGATGCTTCGCTGCCATACAACCATAAAGACCTATGAAATAAAGAATAATGAGAGGGAGAGAAGGGGGACTTGCCTGAAAACCTTAATGCCCTACGCAAACATTCAGGGTCAAGGCGCCTACACCTTGTGTAGACAACATACCGTCACAAACAGCTGGCTATCGTGCAAAGATAAGGCGGCATCGGCGAGACAGCTTCCTTGCGGCTTTCACTGCCGCGCGTCATAATCAGCCATTACCCCGCAGATAACTCAGCACCAAACACACTTTAAACAGGCAATCCAATTAGACGGCAGCAGACGCGCCACTGGTGTCGGTTGCGAGCCATGTCCTGTAAAATCTCGAGCCAAGCACAAGGCGAGTCACGTGGACTCCAGCCCGGGAGGCGAGACGGACCAACGGCACCCAGTTTGGTAGTCAGCGACTTCATTTGCCGCTGCCAAGTCAACTTCTGTCCACCTCGAGCCTTGCGCCACCCTACACCTGGCAGATTAAACAAGGCCCTCCTACGTAAGCGGTGACCAGGCATACGTAGCACGTGCCCGAGCCAACTCAACTTATTCAGTGCAATCTGTTGTTCTAGGGAGCTAGCATGATTATCACCACCTAGTACTCGCCTAAGCACATCATTGTTGCGGACACGCTGGTGCCATCCGACACCAGCAATGCTTCGCAGACAACGATGATCAAAGACTTGAAGGCGCCTCATATCTTCAGACCGAAGGGGCCGTCTCACTACCATAGAATAGAACGGCCCTCACTGTGGCCTTGTATACCCGGCCTTTCAGACGAAGGGAAACTCCCTTCTGTTGCCAAAGATGCCGCAGGTTCAAGAAGGTAGCTCTGGCTTTTGCAATGCGTGAGCTGACGTCAGTTTCTATGCGTCCATCCTTGCTGATGCAGCTGCCAAGATAAGTGAAATGATCAACCACCTCGAGTTCCTCGTTAGCAAGCGTCAAGGGGTCATCAAGTGGCTGGTGGTCCTGCAGCAACACTTGCACTTTGAAGGTGCGAAGTGCATACCAAATAATGGGACCACTCTGGACAGGCTATTCAGGGTTGATTGTGCCGCCCCAACATCGTCGAAAAGCAAGACGATATCGTCCGCATAATCTAGATCAAATAACCTTTCACCAGGCAGCACTTCAACACCTACATCGTGATATTCCGCAAGGGAACACTCCATGATAGAATCCACGACGAAATTGAACAAAAATGGGGAAATCGGACAACGCTGACGAACGCCACTTCTGGTCGGGAAGCTATCCGACAGGACATGGTAGACCTTGACGCGGCCTGTAGTGTTCGAGTATAGAGCACGAAGGATGTTCACATATTTCGTGGGAACACCTTTGCGCGCAAGTATTTCGAACAGAATCGATCGATCGACTGAATCGAACGCACTCTTGAAATCGAGGAACACAGCTATTGTCGGTCTGCGGTATGCGTGGCGCTGCTCTAGCACCTGTCGCAAAGTAAATATATGGTCTATACAGCCACGTCCTGGGCGGAAACCGGCCTGCTCTTCCCTAATCCGAGATTCCCGTCCCACGACGACGTCCCGCGACGAACGAGAATCAAGGCCAGTAATTTTGTCACAACTGGCGTTAGGCTAATACCCCTGTGGTTCGCACAGTCTGTGCGACTGCCGTTCTTGTATATTGCCACTATAATCGATTCGATCCAATTAACCGGCACACTCTCTTCCTTCCAGATACATTCGAATAAGGAGGTCAGTGCTTTGCAGAGGACCTCACCTCCATCCTTAAATAGTGCAGGTGAGAGGGAATCCGGGCCAGCGGCACGAAAACGATTGAGGGCTGTGATCGCGTTTCGGACCTCGGCCTCTGACGGAGGCTCTAAACTAACCGTCCATGGCTCATCCTGCATCACCTGAGTAAGAAGAGGTCCGGGAGCAGGGGCC